GACATCGAGTAGCAAGCATCAAGGTTTACATCTACAGTGTGGTTATCGTATGGTTAGCTGGGGCTACTCAAGGTGTATTGGGTTTTTTAGCCCTATATCATGCCATCAAAATTGAGTATAGTGAAGTCAGTGGTGGAGTAATGATTTATTTCTCAGTCGCAACGATCTGCGTGTCTTATCTCTCAATCCGGAAAAGACTCAACAACAGAAATCGCGACATCAGTACAGCCCAAAACAGACAATGTGTGGAACAAAACATTAAACTTTCCAAGACATTCTTTGCTGTTATCATTGCGTCGATTGTACTGTGGGCTCCAAGTATGTCATTTTACATTGTCAGTCGTTTTCATCCAACGCTTTTTGCTGGCTTTTCAAAATACATTTTCGTAATGTTAAATCATTCTAATTCTCTTGTCAACCCAATAATATATAATTTTAGAATGCCGATATTTAGGAAAACTCTAGGACAACTGAAAAATAGGATGAAACTTCAGAGGCCTTCCAGAAGGTACGCAGTTAACGGAGAAGCCTGAAATTTATGTCAGGCACGAAAAGAGATGGATCAATTGTTCAACCATCTTCTACTCTTAATTTAACTCATAAGAAGACGGACGCAATTTTAACAATACTGAATGCTACATCAAAGCCTGAATTTATCCTTCGATCAATGTAAAACATTTAATGCACTTATAAAGTTTCAAAATCACATCATCATTTGTTTTATATCCGATATTGTTTATCCAGTAGCTTCAAATGATTAAGAAGACCTTAAAGCAATTTTAAAAAAAATTGGTTGAAATTTTTAAATCGATTGGAAGATTGCTTAGTTAGCAGCGAATTCTGAAACATAACAAGGGAAGCGCAATGTTCGTCAATGATGCTTTGGTCTTTTCGCACGCTTCCACAAAAGAAGCACAGGCTTAAATCACCTTATAATGAAGAAGAGTCAGATATGAATACTTTATCTCAAACTTTAGGCTTTTTGAGAAAAATTTACAAGCACATCAGCGACAAATTGTTGAGGAAAACACAAGGAAACTTTTCAAAGCTTTGTTCCTTATGACAGGAGCATCTGCTGCCTTCTGGTTTCAAGCCTTGCTTTATTCTCGTTCCTAACGTTCGCTCCAGAAATTTCTCCCCAATTTGTGAAATATGTCTTTACGATAATTCATGATCATCTGTGCAATTCCGTCGTCAATCCACTGATTTACAGTTTAAGAATGCCAATGTTCAGACAAAGTCTTAGACGATTTATACTTGTAAAAATTCGAAAGCAGCGGCAGAAGTACGTAGTTAATTGACAAGGGAGTCTAAGAAAACGCTACAAAGAACTTTTAACTTAGCCTGTTCACAGACCCTCTATTTTCTCTTCAAAGTTCGTCGAGCGTGCGTGATAAAAAAACTGTGGGGGATTTGTTGACCGCCAGCGCAAGGGGGTAGAGGTGGGAGAAGAAGAAAATAGACGAAAAAAAAAATATCGAAAAAGAAAAAACAAAACAACGTCTGTGTACAGGCTACTTTTAATTTTCCTTTTTTTTTCTTACGTAACGAGATACAGTTTTATAAAGTACTGAAAGGTACAAACACACTTAATAATCACCTTTGCCTGAGGGAAAAGAGACAAGAAAGAGACAGACTTTTTACTTTTATTTAAAACAAGATCTATGTATTAACATGAACGTAATTAAAGATTTTAACGTCTGCGCTCAAAGTTTTTATTAATATATATACTATTAAGGGAGACATTTGAGCTTGATTCTTGTAAACACAGTACGGTTGCTATTTTAATCAGTGCCTTGTGTGCTTTTATCAATCTGATTAAACCTAAGACCTAATTTACTACCTTTGGTTCAATTTATAGCACTGTTGAATTAATAATTCATCTACTATTTATTAATTTCGCATAGATATCACTAGCTGTCAGCATTAACAGTGCAGATGCTTTATATATTTCTTTAATGAAGGGGTCGCTATGGCTCATCAGTGGTGCTGTCATCACAAAGGCATACCTGCAGCGGTCACACCTACTGCAAAACTCGGCTCAGCTATACCAAGTTATCAACACAGCAAATACAGCGATTCCAGCTGATTTGAAGATTATAGCCGTTTCCAATACAATTTAAAACACCTTAAACATTATTAGTGTTATGTCTGATACGTTTACCCCAGTACGCTGAAGGGATATCTGTTTCAAACAGCAAAACTGTGGAAAGAGCTGGTCGAACTAACAGAGACGTGAAAAAAGCCACGACTGAAGCCAAAAGAAGAAGTAAACTTCAACTTGAAAATGGTAAATTAAGCTTATGTTTAAAAGTCAATATTCGATTCCCTTTTATTTTCAAACTTCTTATTACCCTGTTTTACTCGTGTGTATATCTGTAAAATGGATTAGTATTATCATCTGTATAATATAGAGAATAATTCATGGAAAGTGCTGGCGTACGGTATTTACGTACGAGTTGTTGACGTATCAGAAATCGAACGAGTGAGCGCAGCGAACGAGTAAGATTTCTGATACAAAAACAACGACTGCGTAAATACCGTACAAAGCACTTTCCATGTGGTATTGTGTTTATTATATACATACTGAGACATTCATCATTTTGGCGGCCTTTTTATTTTAAATCTTTCAAAAATGCTAAAATTTGCCGCTACACACTTACCGCAAAATGACAACGAAAACGAAGTACCAGCTTTTTAGTAAAAACGTTTGTTAAAAACATAAAGGACGGTAAGGATACGAGGTAATCCAAGAACTATAAGTTATCTTAACTGTTTGTTCTCAATGCACAATTGAAAATGAGTGAATTTAAGGAAAATGGCCGGTTTGAATATTATAAGCATAAGCTAAAATGAAAGGCAAAGTAGCTCCGACAAAAAGCACAACAAAAGCTTACGTCTCGTTCTGTTTTTCCCTTTCCGTTGTTGTTTCGCCGGCTCTCTACCGTTTTTTTCATCGACAGTGAAAGAAACGAAACTATTCCACTCCATTTCCGAAATGTTTTTCACTTTTTTAGCGAGAAAAACTCTTTGAGTAAAACTTTTCTCGTTGAATGTGTGCGAAGCGGCGCTGCAAGCTGCAATTAAAGGCGGGAATTTTGGCGCGAAACTCACACACCTCTGTGGCTTCTGATTGGACGTATCATTTTTCTCACACGTGAGAAAATATCGTTCGCGATTCTGATTGGACGTATCATTTTTTTCACGTGTGAAAACCATCGTTCGCTCCTCTGATTGGCTAGAACTAATTTGGGTACGACAATTTACGACATAGCTTTTTGGTGAGTATTTCTCAGTATGTATATAATAAAAATCTGTATTCAACTTCTAATCGAGTTAAATGTGTGTACGTCGATCGTTTTTCTACATGTGGCTGAATGTTTTTATAAACGATGTAAGCTAAATGTATAAATAAACTTATACCTTTCAAATCGCCTTTTTCCATTCCGATTTAACTTCCTTACAGTGCAAGGAATTTATGCAGAACTTCAGCCCCGTCGTGATAGATATTTTTCTACCGAACGTACTTGTTCGGTTTATTTCAAATACACAATATTTTTCATCCGCTCCGTTAGAAAATGTCAACTGAAAAATAGTTTTACTTAATTGGATTTTTTCGATAACTACCACATTTCAATGAAAGGCTTACTTAAAAAAGTTATAGCGATCACTGAAAATGGACATTGAAATGGCTTCAGGGTTTTACCATGTTTTGAGGATTTTGAAACCATCTTTTTGAACTCGCTCACCAACCCACTCTTCCGGACAATTTCTGCTTTCGCTCGTTGTTTTTCTCGGTGACGAAGAGCTGATCTTCCTTTTGCTGTACGTAACAATGATTTCTTAAGTCTATAAGTAAGTTTGGAGCCCATCGAAACATTAAACCTTTAAGATTTTCCTCATTTTCCGGTAACTCAGCTGCAGTTTTCTCATGTCTGTTTGTCTACTTGCCAAGAAGTTACCCGCATTAGCCTCGCTTTCGCGCGAAAACAAGCACTTGCCTAGGCCGCTCTGGAATACGAAACTTGCCTATAGCAGCGGGCGGGCAAAGTTTAAACTTCACGCGTTAAGGTTTTTACCACACAAAAAACCAATAGAAACTGAAAGACGATTACGAAGAAAACAAAACTAATAAAGTCTTTGCTTTTATGAGGCTTTAAGTATCCATAAGTATTAAACTACTTACTCCCGGACTTCTTTTCTGGGCTTTATGTAATCAAACGGCACCCAATGGAAGACATAACCAAAGTACAAGTGTTTTTCTTGTCAATTATTTGTCGTGCAGGCACCGTCCATGATAAGGCAGGGGAAATGGATATCGTTTCTAGTGCTTTAAAAAAGCAAACATTATCAGTAGGAGACAAATTTTGGTTTGGATTTGGCCAAAACAATTCAGGTGATGATTCAAAATTTATCCACTAGTGATTCCTCATTCAAGTGAAAATTCCTGCCAAATTACTCATTCAGTTTTATTTGCTAGACGCCCGCCTAGCGGTTTTGGATCGAACTGAAATGGCAGACTTAAATCGAACACACAGCAAATTAGTAACACGTTTAAAAAAGAGCAAGAAATACTAGGCCTATGGCTAACGAGCAAAGTATGGACGAGTACATAATTTTCTTTTAACTTCGACGAAAATAACGTTTCACTGAATCTCCTCCATAGACACTCCGGGTATTAGAGTATTATTATTTAATAATAATAAATATAAATTATTATTATTTATTATTATTATTATTATTATTATTATTAGAGCTGCCACCGCAAATCTGCCCGTTTTTTTACTTTGGCCCATGAATTTAGGCCACAGCCCCCTTTCTAGTTCGCTTTTTCACAACAGCGTTGTTTTTCACTAGTCAGTTCATGATTAATTATTTCACCCTATGCAAGTGATAGTTTTCATAACCAGCAACACAAAACTGTAGTTCAATAAGTTAACCAGCAGTTGCGAATTTTTCAGGTTTTTATTTCATTTACATAGTAAAAAGTACCTGTCTTTTGGTCGTTTGCAGTACTGTTTGGTAATGTCAGTTTTCTTAATTTTACTGCGGTTTGTGAACCGTCCTTTACAAATGCTTACAGAGGTCTCTTTTAAGGTTGGGTTGGAAAAAATGGTATTTTGCTGAAATTGTCTTTGCAGGTTAAGCAAAGCTTTTGCGGTGATTGCCAGTAATGGCTCTTGCTTAAAAGCACTAAACAAAGTCAATGACATACTACAAGAACTAAAGCTGGGTGCCCCTAAATCTCAGATACCAGACTTAGCATTATTTTTCGCCTTGAATACCTGTAAAAGCACGTACGCCAATGTTCTTTGTCGATGAGCAATGTATCAGGCAGGATTACACAAAAATCTTTAAAATGACGATTTTGCTGGTGTATGTACTCCTTAAGGAAGTTCTTATACTAATTTACAAATAAAAGTCGTATAATCAAAGTTTTCTGTTGTTAAATCTATTTCACACTGCTTTATTTTTGTCACTCTCTGGCTCTGTTGGCACAACGTTTTTCAGTTCTACTGTACCAGCGTCGTTGCTTTCTTCAGGGTAATAAGGAAGAAAGGGAATGTACTTGGCGCATTTGTAAGTGCTCAACTTTCTTAAACCAAAAGGCAGATCATAAACATTTAGATCCTCCTGATCACCTTCTGTATCATGTCTCCATACCGTCATGCCTCGCTCTTCAAGCGAGCCAGGGATTGTGTTATCTAGAATCAGACCTGTTATTCCACCAATTAACATGTTAGTTCGTAGAAGAACGGTTATGATTTGGTCCACCTCTGGTTCACCTGTAGTGAGAAAGCAAGAAACAGTTCATTATTTAATTAAATAGAAAAAAAAAACAGAAGGCCCGGATGTTATATTGCGAGCAATTCTGGGAAAATTCGTTAGCATACATTATCATACCCCCAAAAACAATAGAAAAATAAAAATTAACTGCAACATATACATAAAAAGATATGGTCGCCTCACTAAGGGGTAGAAATTGCGAATTTTGGTCGCGCTTAAAGTGTGTTCCGGAAGCAAAGCCAATGTTTTATCTATTTATCAAATCGACAACAATTTTCCATGGCTTATACTTTTACTGACTATAGAAATGACGTTAAAATGTTCAAAACTCCAGTCGAAAGTTTTGAGCATTTTGACGTAATTTCTATGGACAATAAGTATATCACACATGAAAAATTGTAGCGCGCATACTAATTACACAAACAAGGGTGGAAATTTTTTGCTTAAACATAAAAACCATAAACTTTGACGTGGTGGGAGAACGAACCGCTACAAGTTATATCCAAATCAGCTGAACAGATTAAAAAGAGTAGAAAAATCGTATCGCCTCAAATCACAGCTCATATAACTTTATTCTTAAGATTCAGAAAAGGGAATGACCCGAACCACTTGATTTTCCAACGGGAATTTCCGGTTTTTCCAGGTAAATGGTAAATGACCCAGGCCTCTTCCTCCTCCTCCTCCCTCCGCCTTCTCGTGTTCCCCTCTCGCGATAGAAAAAAAAACTTACCAAAACACTACCGGCGCCTGTCACGCAGGTTAGGAACGGTAAGTATATTTCCACCAGAAACAAAGCATTAACATTTTACTATTATTTGGGTCGTCACGCAACACGCAGGGAGAAGCGAAATGTATCAACCCAGCTGCATGAAAGATAAGGAAATCTTTGACCAATTACCTGTGTTGATTATGCCCTTATTCTCTGGTTTAGACAGCCAATAGGGTAGTGCCATACCGAAAACCACTGAAAACCCCAGGATAAAGAGATTTCTTGAAGAATTCAAGTCTACAAACTGTAGATTTGATATACCGACAGCCGTGATCATTCCAAACATTACCATGAATACTCCGCCCACTATTGGGTTTGGGATCGTTGCAAAGAGTGCGCCAAACTTTCCCAGAATGCTTAGGAAAATCATTATCACGGCCCCAAACTGGACGACGCGGCGACTACCAACCTGTGAGAGAAAATAAAGGAACTGTTTAGTTACGAAAAGGAGGAGTGTTTAAGATGTTTATCATAAACATCAGTAAATACACAAAAAGGAGTGTTTAAGAGAGCATGTCAGCGAGGATGTTTGGACATGATAAAACACAAACTTTTATTTTATTGAAAAGCTTCAAAATGTTCCTGACTCTAAATCTCTTCATAATTGTACTCTTTTTGTTTTAATTTCTTGTTTATTACCTTCTTAAGTGTTAAATTACGTTTACAATATAAGTGGAACCGTCTTTTTGATCTCGGGCTAAACGGGAGAGATTGTAGGGGCTGATACATAAAGCTTCGACTGAATGGCGTAAAGGGCTCTAAAAATGTTCACTTCCCTAATAATCCACAGGTTATCCACCATTTAGGCCACGAAAAGTTCAGCCGAATTCTTAACCTTGCTACATCAGGCATAGAGCGTTTTCACATGAAATCATGGCGCCCATGTCGGTGGTCCAAACAAATCCTGTTGGAGTAGAGCTCTTTTCTTATGTAAATTCTTTCTCTGCCGCGTGAATGAAAAGGCTGTATAAAGGCATTCGTTTCGTGTAACAAGAAAGGGCAAAGACACATGAACTTATACATACCTTCGTGATACCAATCGCTCCTATGTTTTCACTGTAAGACGTGGTTCCATTCCCGCTACCCCAGGCCCCCGCCAGTAGACACCCAATACCCTCCATACCAATGCCTCTATTTATAGCGTGTCTTGGAGGCGGAGGAGCGCCAGAAAGTCGTGCGCAGGCGTAATAGTCACCAACTGACTCTATCATGGAAGCTAGTACTCCTGCCAGCATTCCAAACACGCTTGCAGCACTTATTGTGGGAGTTCCCCATTGACCTATGACAACAAGTGAAAAATACGCTAGAATCTGATAACGTACGTCAAAATAACACAGAAAAAAAATCAGACAAATTCATTCATAATTTTATGAAATATTTCAACTTATCCTGTCGTCCTTCTTGTTTAGTTTGTTTACCCTTTTTTTAGTTACCGCATAGCCATAAAATAGAAAGATATTCAAGGGAGTGGAATAGCAGCCATAAAATCATCTTTTGAACTCACGCTTTCAGGACTTCGCTTTCAATAAAGAACTAAAAAGGACCACGTCACGAGGCTATTGCTCTTTTACGTCACTTCTGACCAAAGTCACTACTAAATGGCTTTACCCATGTATAATTATGCTCATATAAAAATACGAAGAAGATATCAGTCAAATTATATTAGGATGCACTAACCATTATTACTCAGTGTTTGGGGATGATTTTCGAAGGTATATCATTGTAACTGAAACTTGAAAAAATTGGCCCAGTTTGTTCAAATTTTAGTTCACTTTTATCCTTATACAATCCGTAGCAACAGTTCACAGGTGGACCGTTATTTTTGGAATTCAATTAATGCGAACGCATGTTTCAGCTTTTTGAAGATATAAATATGTCTAGTTTTTAAAACTGAGTCACATATAAGTCAGTAGATGGGACAACTATGTTCCATTTTTTCTTGGTCTTTACCACTCGCCACTGCCTTGCTGGCCTTGCATCAAAAAAGCGCCTCACATATTTGCCACCAAAAGAACGCTGTACTTGTCACTCGTTGAGCAAGGAGCTAATTTACTAACCTGGATAAGGAAATCTGAACCATTTTGCCTCTTCCAAAACATATATTCTAGCATCTGTTCTTGCAAGGTATTGCGGATTTTTTGGATCATCTGTAAATCCGCCAGCTGCGGTTATAATGGCACTGATAATCCAAGAAAATACAATTCCAAGCAAAATCTGCAGAAAATATAGAACGCAAGAAACGGCCGTTACAAACTTTGTTATCTGAACTTTTTCTGTGAAAGGTTCTGCTTAGGGGACATTGATAAAGGAAAGAAAAAAAACGATTCTTCTTAGAGTTCTTTCGAAAAATTGTGCAACCTCGTCCACAGGCTTTCACTGAATTTGACGATGTGTAGTTCCAGAAAATATCCACACACCCCCGTCCGTAATAGAAAATTAATCTCCAAGGGAGGTATGGATTTTTAAACAAAGCAGTGAAATTTGCGCAGTTATGTACGGAAATAGCTAAATACAAACTGTCAAGTCTCTATCTATCTCGCTGGTCTCTAGAACTCATTTTCTTTCACTCTGTGCTTTTGACTTTGTTGCTAGTTTAGAGAAGTAGCCTCCTAAACAGACGTTGTCTCTGCGTAGGCTGGTCTCGATTGTGAGCAAAAGGGTTTGTAATTCATTGTTACTACTTACCGGGAACAACCTAAACAAAGGAAATCTGGTAATATGCATTCCTTTTTCCCTTGAGTAGCTAGGGAAAGGAATTTCGATGTTCTTCAGATACTGCGAGAAAACTGCAACAAGTACAATGGTCCTAAAATAAATCAAAATACGTTGTAAATATAGAGTAATCGGGTCAATTTAAGTTCCTGGAAACTGCCCACCTACCCCTCCCCTAAGCCAACATTATCACTTACTTCTCACTTAGGACAAAATGTTAGCTTAGGGGAGGGGAAGGTGGGCAGTTTCCCAGAAACCCAAATTGATCCGAGTAATCGGCCATTAAGAGCAGAATGAAAGTTATTAAATTTCTAAACAAAGAGAAAGTAAGGCAAAAATGAGATGAAAAAAAGGGAGAAGTGGTTTTAGCACTTACGTCGCAGAAATTCCCCAGTGAACACCTGTTAAAGAAAACATCTGCGCTTCAGTTTTAGTAAGAAATTGTCGGGTATCTATTTACCCCAGGGACAACAGAAGTCAATAATGAATGCCATTAGGTAAATTGAACTAATATTTAAAAAAGGCTTAGGACATGCCCAAAGAATCAAATAAACAATGACACTCGAAGTCGCGTGTTTGTTGAAGTATCTCCACTCAGAATGCTTCAACTCCGAAAAAGCCAGCCAAAAGAGATTTAGCCTGGGGCTCAGCAGTCGAGCAAAAAGGCAAATAACGGGTTCAAATAGGAAAAATATCGGCGAGCGAAGAAAGCCGAGCAGTGGCCTGGGGAGGGGAAAGGGCAATTTGCTTTTCCTTGGGAAAAGGAAGTTTCAGTACCCTCTCTCCTTTCTATAAGAATATATTTTATAAGACTAGGAGTAATCGGAGCTTAGGAGAGTGCGTTCGATATGTTTGCTAGGCGTACAGGTAGCAGTGGAGGGGAAAGGGTGGATGGTTCTTGCGATAGACAACTATAATTATGGCATATTTTGAACGTAAGGGTTACATACAGCGAAACCTCGATTTAAACTGTGTATCATAATGAAAAGGTTTTGAAGGCTATGTGATCAGCGCGATATCGTATGGTTCGTCTCAAGTGCTTGTTATTTGAGGAGACACTGGCCAGAGTGCTTCGGGCGTGTAAAAAGACCTTTTTGTTTTACTGGCGCAATAGATGTTCTACTGGGCGCAGTTGTTCGAAGGCCGATCAGCGCTTAACCCGGGTTTCTTTTTCTTTTGTTAAAAAAACATTTCTGTGGATAATTTCCTCAGTTATTTTTAGGAGCGTCCAATCATCAACTTGTTGGCAAAATGAAGCCGGGTAGCGAGTTCGATTCTCATTTCCTTTGTCTCGAACGAGGATGGTTTCTCCCCCTTCCAAGTTGAAAATGTTCACTGGAAGTGTATGTGTGCTGCTCACTAGTGTATCATTAAAATTAATAAAAATAAAATTAATTTACGCAACCACGAGTTCGTGAGAAAAAGACAAAATGGCGGGTGAAAGGTACGTGACGCCGACTGATTTTATTTTTCTTTTTATGATCCGAGTTGATTTTTTTATGATCCGAGTCCAATTTTATTTTATTTTATTTTTATTTTTTTATTCGATCTGAGTTGATCCGACCCGGAATGGGGCTCCCGACTTTTGTACCTGCCTAGCTAAAATGTCCGTTTGTCCAGTGCCGAAAATATCACACATCATGATGAAATGGTGCCGCCGAGCTTAACATCTCGGTAGATTTACTTTGTGGAATAACGGCCGCCGAGCTACACAATTCGGTAGATTTACTCTGTGGCACTACGGCTGCCTAGCTACATAACTCAGTAGATTTACTTTGTGGCACAACAGACGCTGAGCTTCACAACTCGCCGGTAAATAACTTTGTGGCACAACGGACGCCGAGCTAAGCAACCCGGTTTGATGTATGCACCAGGAGTAGCACGCATTTTCCAAAGAAAAATATGAAGGCTTAATCGAAAGTAATATTTTACTCAGGGTGTAAACTTTCAGCACACTTTTGAAAGATGAACGCTTTGGAAGATTCATTAAACACCGATCGATAGTTGACCTTCAGCAAACTCTTAAATATGTACGCTTTACGAAAATTCAGCACACTTTTAAAAGATGAACGTTTTACGAAGACAGAATAGCAGACCTCAGCAAACGTTTGAAAGATGAACGCCGAGGACACCAAGTGAGTTAGCGCGTCAAAGTGAGGCAAAACGTAAGCAAGTGCCTCAAAGAGAGGCAAATGTGTGTCGACGACGACGACGACTAAGATACAATCTCGAAAAAACCTCCCTTATCAATTGCACAGGTCACCCAATAATGCACAAAACGCCCAACACAAATTAGGGGTTGCGTTCGAGGTGAAATTTGTAAAATTTTAAGATTATTTTAAGAATAAACCCCAGGCTGAGATATTGAAAAGGATGTATTTTTGCGTGATCAAAAGCTGTAACTTAATACAATACAGGCTATAATAGACATTGTCACGGTTTTGGAAGCCATGTTGACGAGTAGGCAACCGCGTGAGAAATTACAGTGTTTGTATGAAAATCTAATCTCAAATAATTTCCGTAAAACGGCCGTTTTGAAAAAAAGAAAAAAATTAGTTGTAAAGTAAAGCTCCACTCCTAAAGATTCCACTGAAAAAAAATTAAGGGGGGGGGGTACAAGCGCTAGAAGATCTAGAACCACTTTTTAAAATTTTCTATACAGTTGTCTATAAGAAAGTCCCGAGAAAAATTCCAGACAAATATATGGGAAATCTAAAGCAAGCCTCTGGAGAAATTTAAGCACAGGTACGCCCCGAAAATTTTTTAGTGCAATCCTTCTCTTTGTAGCTTTAGTTTACAATTCATATTTTTTTCAGAAGAGCCGTTTTATGGAAATTAATTGACATTAGATTCTCATACAAACACTAAGTTCTCACGCGGTTGCCTACTCGTCAAGATGGCTTCCAAAACCGTGGCAAGGTCTATAAAACGGAGAGAGGATAAAGAAAGAGAAGACAGAGCGAAACTGAGAAAGAAAAGACAAAGGTCGAAAGAGTGAACATGTAAGGCAAAAACCCGAGGGGGGGAGGCAAAAAAAGAAGTAAGAAACTTAGTCAAGCGATTGCAAGTAGAAGTGTTACTTTTACACGTTTCGCTCTTCGGAGAGCCGTCGCGTACGCAGTCACCTCACAACAGCCGTGAACCTCACAACTTCTTTCACACTGGCAGGGCTCGTCCCTTTAATATTTCTTATCATCCTTATCGGCTTTACGATATTAAATAAAGGAAATGTTTTTTTACAAGGTCTACTATTCGAAAAAATTTCGCCGAAACCTTGAAACAGTTTATCGTAGGAACTTGTACACAAGCAACGTAACGGTGCTGGTCAACTGACATGTGAGGGCTGGGAGGGTGACTTTCTCTTACCATCCCATAAATTAGCTACTGTAGCACAAAGTTGCATTTAGGCTCTTGCCGATTGTGCTAGCATAATTTTTGGCATAATCTGAGGAATTGAGCATAATTTTTGCCCTTTTTCCAAAAGTAGCACTGCTAGCATAATCCGTATATTTTCTTGTCTTAATAGCACAATTTTAGAATAATTCAAGAAAACGAAGATCTCAGCTACTAAAAACGATAGATTACTATTAACAGTTGCTTCCACTCCTATTTTTCGATTTTTTTTTACTTGTGTTGAGATACCGCGGGAGTTCGATGAAACGGAACCGGAAGTCTGTGTCTCGGTCCCAGACTCCTTAGTCTTTCTCCCAGTGCTCGTTTCAAAATGGCGGCCGCCACGCCAAACCAGTCAAGTGCAGTGAACTTACATCCAGATAGTTTACAAGGTTGCGAGAACAGAGAGGATAGACCAAAGCCTGCACAACTTGCCCGGATATGGCGCCCAGGAAGTGCTGTCAGGTACTTGTTCCTGGATAGCAGATTTATTTGCCGTATAGGCCCAACCACCGGATAAAGTTACCCAGGTTTTGAACAACCGGGCCCAGAACGTCTGGCCAGGGTTAATAAAATACATTTTCAAACTTGTCTTTTGAGTTGTGAAGTTTGTGCACAGAATAATTTTTTAAAAAAGTAGCATAATTTTGAAAAGCGAGCATAATTTGAGCATAATTTGGGCAAAAAACGAGCACTGCCACTAGCATAATATGCCACTTTTACTAGCACAATCGGCAAATGCCTAGTTGCATTCCCTCTGAACTGGAGGCCATAAAAATGCTGCTAAAACTAAGTCACTTATTTTTTATCTCTACATAACGATTGACAAGATGTGTATGACGTACATGTATGAAAAGAGGAAGTAATGGATGTGTCTGCTGTAAAACGAGGACCGGACAACTGCGAATGGTGGATGCGGATGGGAAAATGCGGAAAGAAAAAACTGCGGATAGCCAAAAAAGTAAAAAGAATAAGACGAGAAATTCGGATGACAAAATAAATAAAGAAACAAAAAAGAAAAGGAAAGAAAGCTTTCTATCAAGGCCCGGCGTTCAAGCCGCTGTCGTATGGTTGGGCCCTTAATGTACAGTACGCGTTGTCAATAGTTGGCACAGGTTACTCAAGTTTTTTCTCAACTCTTTGAACGCTGTAATTCCTTTCATTGATGTCAAAGAAACAAGGACGATCCGTTCCTCCTCCTTAAAAGTACACATGCTCTGGTGCACTTTTGCTTTGAGTACATAGCTGAATATATTGTACTCAACTTACAGAAGAGAAAATATTCTCAGGGCAATCAAATCGAGAATTATTTGTTTGAGCGCCCTGATACAAAAAACTGCAGCATCAAAAAGCAAAAAGGCGGAACGTAAGTACGTAACTTTCCGATTTGGCGGATGCCAATCAACTCCGCCTATCGTGTACATTTCAGTTCAGTTCTACCTTTTGGGAATTTGTAAGTGCACGAATTATGAATTGGAATTTTGAAACTGTAAAATTTATAAACTGTAGCCTGAATTTCATCCGATTACTTCGAGTCGTTATTACTCCCTCAGTAACGTCTGAATCGACCTGCCGTTAATGCCGTCCAGTGACGTCACTACTCCTTGACCTTTGCTTTAATTCATGCAAAAAGTAAAACACGATTTTCAAGTGGCAAACCGAGAAATATCGTTTGGAAATGTCTGCATGATACAGAATTGCTTTATTTTTTTCGATCGTAATTCATGTTTAACGTTCAAACTATCAACTGCATGCAGTACAACTCTGAACCGGTTGTACTGAATTCTATAATCTGAATCAAACTCGGTCGCAATCACGCAATGAAATAAACACACACACGGAACACTTAGGGTGCGTTTCTTTAAAAAAATCCAAGATTGGATTCTTAATCCGAGATCATGCGGATTCGTTATTTTTAAAGACACGAAAAATCCGAAAATGGATTTTTTTTTCAATTAGCCGTAACGACCCCAGCATGCAGTTCGCGTGTTTTGGGGGGAGTTTTCAAAATGGCGGAAAGTTTTGGTTTGATGTTTGAACTGTTCGAAGAAGTCCTTGCCGATGACCTTGAACAACAACAGGTTCTTTTAGGAGCCGATGACGAAGCAGTTTTATTCCTTTTGGCGGCCGGACAGCTCGTCCGAAAAGAACACGTTCGCACAAAGAATTTTTACGAAATAACCGTACCTAGTTACATACCGGAGGACTTCCGAAGTCACTTCCGCATGTCACGGCATACAGTTACAGTTCTCGAACATTTGCTTTCGGTCCACGGCGACTTACCTCAATACACCGGCGATAGAGGAAGACCACCGGTCGAGTTAAGAAAGCAAATCCTTATTACGCTGTGGATTCTTGGGAATCCAGAATGTTTACGCTCTGTTGCCGATCGATTTGATGTTTGCAGGGCAACTGCGTACAGAGTCTACAGACGAGTTTGCAAAGCAATAGTGAGGAACTTAATGGATGAGTTTATCAAGTTTCCAACTGGTCTAAAAGCCCAAGCGGTGATGGAGGCCTTTGAAGAGAAAAAGGGTTTTCCGGGTGTTTTGGGGGCTATTGATGGCACCCACATACCAATCAAAGCACCACATAACAATCATGAACAATACATAAATCGCAAAGGTTTCTTTTCCGTCCAACTACAAGTCATTTGTGACCCGGATTTATTCATAACCGATGTTTTCTGTGGTTACCCTGGTTCAGTACACGATGCTCGCGTGTTTCGTAATTCTCCGATCTGCCGAGAAGTTGAAGTGAACCCAGACAATTATTTTCCTGGCAACTCCCACATTTTGGGAGACGCAGCATATCCCTTGAAGAGGTGGCTGTTGACCCCATTTCGAGACAACGGACGTTTGACTGCTCAACAAAGACGTTACAATACTGCCCACAGTTCCACCAGAATGGTGGTTGAGAGGTCCATAGGGCTTTTTAAGAACAGGTTTAGGAAGCTAAAAACAATGATGGATGTTGACAAAATTGAGGACATACCGGAAATTATTGTATCCTCTTGCATCTTACACAACATTTGCATTATTGAAGATGACATCGATGATTTTTTAGATGACTCTAATGATGATGATGACAATGATGACAATGATGATGACATCTTTCCACCAGGTGTAGGAGCAGTTGATAAGAGAAACATGATAATGAGACTGATCCCATAAACCTAGCATTTATAAGTGGTTTATGTATTGATACCTTTTGTACTGTGGTGTTTTCATGAACACTTCTTTCATAGGTGGTGTATGTCACTCATAAAGTTTATACTGTATAATAGTCTTTTTGCTATAAATATCAATATTTTATTTGTTTTTAAAAGTATATAAGAAAATAGTAGAGCCATGTACATGGATCACTTTATACTACCTGAAACATTTATGGTGTTGCTTGAAATGTAAACTTTCAACACAAATGTAACAGCCTAATACTCTGACAGTCCAGGTTGCTTGTGTCACGCACAGAAAGGAGGAAGTGTGTGACACAAGTGATCTGAAGCATCTGAGAATCAGGCTAAAAAAAGTAAAGGATATAAATAATATCAAAACCAGTTTAGTTAGGCCCTCTCACCTAATGTTGCTGTTGTAGTTCCTTGTATGTATGTGATAAAAAAAACATACAACTTGCAATAATACTGTTAACATGTATGATATAATAAACTTTTAGATAACTCAATACTGACAACAAACTCAGGTTTACTGTATCTATGTTCATGTTTGTGGTCAAATAATCCCATGTTCTGCAACACAATAAAAAATTATGGAATCAAGGTTACTCTTTGTTCAATGATTTTTCAAAAACATTCAAAAATCGGCCCATGAGTGCCATGCGTTCATTGTGCATATTTTCAAACTTTTTAATCTTTTCCTTTTCTTCCTCTTTCCTGTCTTGTGTAAATTCCTTAAAGAGCCTAACGAGGTCTTCTCTTTTCTTCCGCTCTGGTAACTTCTTTTTCTTTGCTTTTGTAACCACAGGCTCCTCTGTGTCACTACCTGTGGAACTCAATGTGGAACTGGAATTTTTAACACTCTTGACTGCATCTTTGCTCCGTTTACCATCAATGTTGCTGCACAATGTTTTTGGAGCGATGGCATCATCTTTCGAAAATATTTCGTGAAGTTCGTCATAGAAGTTGCATTTCTTTCGGTCATTTCCGCAGACTTTGTTGTGATCAACACAAGCAACATAACTTCTCTTCAGATTTTTCAATTTCGTCTCACACGCCTTGGCATTAAAGAACACTCCGTTCTTCTTTAATTCTTCGCTGATTTCTTCCCACAGGGACTTGTTCTTTTTGTTTATATCTTTAAATCGTTCTGTGCGTTCGACATAGCAGGAAATTAACAACAGCACATCAGCTCTAGACCAGCGTACAAGAGCTCTCGATTCGCCTTCGGTGCCTTCACTCGACTGACTGAACGTGGCTGCAGCTGTTTCCAAAGAAGAAAAACTTGGACCAGGCTGAGGTGATACTGATCTGACTGTTTCATGGCTGAACTGTGATGCCTGCGGTGGTGGAAACATGAACTGAGGAAGATAAGGTTGAATGCCCGGTTGAACGTGGCTTTCGTTCCACTGATATTCTGGATATTCACCTGCAGATAAACTGTGCGTCCAATATTGTCCTGTAGATAGAAATAAAAGATGCCAAGACGCATCAAACATCCGGAAAATTTATAAAAATACGTACAGGACGGAAAATTTCGGTGAAACTACACAAAAACTCACCTTGTTTATTCGCCATGGCCGGCAGCAGCTAATATTTACAACAAAATGGCGGGAATGTGGCGGATTTTAAGAAGACGACCGCTTGCCAAACGTACTGCTTTTTGTATCCGTGCAATAAAGAAACGCACGGATCATGAATCCTAAAAATCCGGATTTAGATTTGATCTAATGAATCCACTCGGAGTGTGGATTCTATAGATTCAAAATCCATTTTTGGATTTTATTAAAGAAACGCAAAATCCGTTTTTGGATTCAAGAATCCGGATTTGGATTTTTTTAAAGAAACGCACCCTTAGTTCAAAAACACAATGATTTGCTTTAATTGAAAAGAAGCTATTTGGTCCTTAACGAAGAAAAAACAAGGAAACAAGAAAGAAAAGCTAACAGAATCATTACACTTGTAAAAATAGCAAGAAGGTCAAATTATAATATTGAACTCAGAAAACTTCGCGTAAACAAAATCACCGGCCGCCGAAACCACAAAGCGGCTCCAAATGAAAAACCTACCGACTCCCCACAATGATCCTTCATTCGCAGCTCGATTTAGCATTTCAGTTTCGAAGACAAGGGCAATTTTGCTGTTTAAGATAAAGATTAAGCTTATCGAAATGTTTGAACTACACGAAAGAATGCCAGGGATGCGATCCGCTGAATATCAAGCGACAATCCCGCTAAAATTTTTCATAATTATAGATAATTATGCGAATGTTTAGACAATCAACCAATCAAAATCACTACCCGGTTTTCAGGTAGTGAGTGACGTCACTGGACGGCATTAACGGCCGGTCGATTCAGACGTTGTTGAGAGGAGAAAACGACTCGAAGCAATCGGATGAATTTCAGGCTATATAACTGCCCATTGAAAAGAAAAAAAAAACAGACTTGATAAAACGTGATTAATTGCAAAAGTTATTTCTCTAAAAGGTGCCAAAAAAAAATCGCCTAATCTTAAAGCATCCTAAAAATCAAACTCCAGCAAAAATAGTGTCCTTAGTGAAACGCATTAATGAAGGCTACTTTCTGTTTCATTTGTTTTTAATTTTTCTTCCAACAAAATAGTTTCCAAGACATGTCCTTTTCCATTTATTATAACGTCTGTATCGAGCAATCTAAAACTCGTCATTAAAAACGTGACAGGAAGAATTCGGATCGAAAATATATGATATTCGGATCATTTGGACAGCTCTCGTCTATCGGGGACGCAGCAACCAAACATAAAGGTGTTTAATTATTACAAATGAGAAAAAAAAATCAAACTGCTTCTTAACAAGCCTTTATAAAGATTTTAACCATGTCTACACCAGATGACCATTTTTTATTCGTTACATACATTCATACACTGTTTACAGGTAGCCATAGAGTACTAAAGTGATGACGTCATAAAAATGAAATTTCTGAAATTATGGGATTTGCCAGGATATTCTGAAAGAGCAATGTCCAAGAGGCCTACTTGCCAAAAATGAGCATTTCGGGGCAAATTGTCGCTGAGATCGTAGCCCAGTTATGCTTAGAAAACTCCATACAAACCCTTCTAAATTCTTTTGGGGTCGACCCCCCCAAAAATGCTCATTTTTGGCAAGTCGGCCTCTTGGACACAGCCGTTTTTAGTGTCGTCACGCAACGCTCCTCCCCACTAACGGCTGCTGAAAACCGAACTACATTCCTTTCCCGTGATTAGCCAATTATAATTCAGCTCCCATTTTCTGGAAAGTGTTCGCGCCACCTTTGCGGTACTGTGACTTCTCCAATCACAGCTTTGCTTTTATCGTTGCCCCATGTGTGAATGACAGAATAATCAAAATCGTCGCGTGAAAACAAGCAATTAACTACATTGTTGTCGTAGTCGGCTCCTATTCAAAATTTAGGAGATAAGCAGCAACAGCAAGCAAGTCAAGCAAATTTCGATGTGCAACATGCGGATGTGCTCATAAAGTTGCCAGGCATAGTTTCGAGAAATCGCCCATCGATAATTTATAAGATTGCTTTTTGAATCAGTACCCTTGAGAGTTTAGTCTTCACAGGAACACAATGAGCACATCCGGTACATTAAATTCTTCACTATATATCAGCACATATAAACGTTAAATGAAGAACCAACCGATCCAGGTAAAAGTCTTCTAGGCCTATCAAACCTTTTTTTCACTTGGAACTTTCTTGACCGCTTAAAACAAACTTTTTTGCAAATTAACCTTTTCGCTGCTTGAAAACACAGAGCCCGTCTAAATTCAGCGACGATTGATTGATTTGTCGAAAACTGAGAAGCGTGCTCGCTTCCTGGCGCACTGCGGCTCACGTACTGTCAAATTTCTTGTACGTGATTGGTTTGTTCGTTAGACCACAAACACAAAGGGAAAGGAATGTAGTTCGGTTTTCAGCAGCCGTTTGTGGGGAGGAGCATTGCGTGACGACACTAAAAACGGCTGTGTAGCAGACTATCTTAGACATTGTTCTTTCAGAATATCCTGACAAATCCCATAATTTCAGAAATCTCATTTTTATGACGTCACACTTTAGTACTCTATTACGACGCACGTAGAAGGATCATGAGGTTATCGCTATAGATGGTTTTCACAATGACGTCATCAAATTGTACATTCAAAATAGCGAGGTTTTACGAATTCTTATTTACACTAGGTTGAAGATAAACAAAAAATAAATGTTTGTACCAGTTTTCAGTCCCGTAGCATGTTCCATATCGAAAATACAGCAATTTGAACTTCCCAGTTTTCAAAGTGCGCGACACCAAAATAGGAATGCTGTCTCGTTGAAAAAGTCTCTCCTTTTGATTTTCAGCAGTATAACCATTTCAAGTATTGGACTGTGTTTATGTGCACGTATGCTAGTTTTCGAGTGAAAAGAAAGAGCTTTTATAGAAAAAGTGAACTCCAGATTTTTTTTATTGATTTCCAGCGGCCATATTGGTGCACCAAAACGGTACACCAATATGGCGTCTCCATACAAAGCTCTACAAAGGTGCATGAAACGTTTCGGCAAATAACTCAGAAACTGTGGGCCACAAAGACATGAGACTTTCATTTTCTTGGCTTCTTCCGCTGGACGGTTTCCAATTTATTTTTTGTGTGTGTGTGTGTGACAGTGAAAACGATCTATTAGTTGGATATAAGAATTCGTAAAACCTCGCTATTTTGACTTTACAATTTGATGACGTCACTGTGAAAAACATCTATATTTATAACGAGAACGCGCTTACAACGTTTGTCGGTCTCGCCTGCTTGGAGATTAGATCGAGAAATGAGAAGGCGATTAATTCTACAAGAAACATGATTTACTCGTTAAAGGTTTTTTACTTCCCACTTTATCGACGTCGATACTTTTTGTTTGTTTCTGGATTGATTTAGTACGCGTGTTAACGACGACCAGAAATACCTCTGGGGTAGCAGGCTATACGCGTGTATAAATACACAAAAATTCAAGGGCCTCGATTCCAGAGAAATTACATCATTGCCAGAGATCAAAAAAGTGATTTACATGGCACGTCATTTCAATCATCGCCGAAAATAAACCGCATGCTCATCACAAGATAGACCTATTGACCACTCCAGAAATACCATAACATACCATAATGTTCTTTGTTTGTCACCCCAAAATTTTGCATAAGCATTGTTTTCAGTTTCTCTTGGGGCCATTTTAACTCCCAAGAGAAACTAAAGACAATGCTTATGCAAAACTTTGGGGCGACAATCAAAAAGCATTATGGTATGTTATGGTATTTTCTGGAGTGGCCAATTCGGCTAACTCAATGTTGTACCCAATTCAAATCTCCCGGGCTCAAGATTCTTTGTGTACTGTATTTGCATCATAATGTTGCATTCACATTTAAATGATATGGAAATTCCTGAAACAAAACGTTTTATCCCCAAAGGGTTTGAATTGGGTACAACCTTTAGTTAGCCGAATAGGTCTATTCCTTTTGCACACAGTGAAAGTTTACCACATCCGACCATCGCGATTTTGTTAATTCAGACTCTTACTTTTTTTCGACCACTCAGTAGACGTCTCAGTAGTGTTCACTTGTTCCAAAGTAATGAACGCTTTCAAGCGATAGAATTCGTGGACCAACGCGTTTCGGAAAAGCTCTAAATTTAATCTTTCCTAAGCTTTCTTCGCAAAAAATGCGTGGCTTAGATCACGCAACGATTCTTAGTCCCAGTTTCCACGGGGTCAGAAGGAACGCCTGGCACAACCCTTTTGTGTCCTAAATACGACCAAAAATTCCGGGGGGGGTACTTCCAGAAAAATTGGGTGGGGGTGTGCGGCACGCTTCCAGAAACCCTTACCCTATTTCAGGCCAAAATCTGTGATTTTCCCTACCCTATTTTAGACCTGATCAAACATTTGATACCCTATTTCAGACCTGAAGCCCTGGAGCCGGGCGCGTGACAAGCTGTTACGGCACGTACACGTCAGTTAGACTGTTCACAGTCCTCTATGTTTCCGTAAGATGGTCGAAATCGAGGGCTACATCTATAATCCCCGAGGCCCGCCCTTTCGGTACATTTGAAAATCAAGATGGTAGCCATTTACGGGAAGACGCGCTATAGATCTCGACGATCTCACGAAAAAAAAGGGGACTGTGAACAGTCTACACGGCAGTTGGCGTAAACATTAAAAGGGAAATGGTCTTATCACCAATTCATGAAGAAGTAGCTAATTCGTCTAAAAAAACATACCCAATTCAAGACCAGAGTGCACAAACCAAACCCTATTTCATACCTAATAACATGCACGAAAAAAATACTCAATTCTGATTGGCTGAGAAAGGAGTGCAGCTCTTCTGTAACACGAGTGCAAAATGTGTAACACGAGTGCAAACTTGTAACACGAGTGCAAATTACAAATGCTTTCTGATTGGCCGAAAACACAAAAGAAACCAACACGAACCAATCAGATTAGAGCTGTTTAACAACACAGATTCAAGAAAATGGCCATGGTTTTCAGCAGACGACGACGGGATTAAATTTTGTAAGCAAAACAACAATAGAAAAGTTAAAAAAAATATTCCAAAAAAACCCGAACACGGTAAAAAGTACGTCTTTCTCGCTAAATGTATTGAAAATGCGTTGCTAAGAGAAAAATACTGTCGACAAAATCGAGGAAAATGAGCCAGAGAAACTAAAAAAAAAGCTACTCATAACAGACTACGCTAAAGTAAAAAAAAATAAAGAACAAAAACAGTTGCAACCACACGCAAACCATGACAGCTACACTCTTCAGGCATTTAAACGAAAAAGGATTATTCGATGATAACAACAGGGATTTCAAGTCATGTACGTTATTTGTTGCTCTCTTTGAGTCTTTTGTGGAGCGAAGACCTCTATTAAAACATCTATGTGATGGTCTGTTTTTTTCCTACCTCGGTAGCAAACGAAACTGAAAATTTAAACTTCTGGTCCAAACTAAACCAATGGGTGAAAATACCACAACTCACCCAATGAAAAGTATCCGTAGCTGGTACTAGCCTTAAAGAAAGTGAGAAAAAAGTTTACGAATCATTGTGCAAGAAAAACAACATGCAGTCAGGTGAAGAAAGCAAAGATTGTAAGTTCAGAACATATCCTCAGTGTCACAGGCCACAGAGGTATAAATTTCCTTAACGACTACGATGAAGCCGACGAAGAAGAGCTACGATGAATCTTGCATTAGCCCAAATAAAATAATGAAAACTCCAGCGCTGAGAAAAAGCAAATATTATATTAATACTGACAGTTTCCGACATCACAACAACTGTGGCTCCACTCACCCATCGATGGTAGCGTCGAAAGAAAACAAATTGCCTCCTTCATTTTCGGGTTTTAAATCTCAAAAATTTGTCCATGAATCCAGCTATGATGGGGTCTCAGGAACAGACAATGATAAACAGTCGTTAAAAATCCTTAGCAAGTGTCTTTCATCTTTGGCTGCTCGAAGCGTTCTCCTGATTTAAAAACGGCAGTATACTTCTTGAAAACGCTTCTTGTAAACGCCGAGCTCTCATAATCGAGGATGAATTTAAAAACACTTACTTTTGCTGATTGTTGTAAACCAAGTTATCTTTAACAGGCTGGTGATCATATAAAAAAATCCGTGCACATTTCCAAGTTCTTAGCTGAATGATTTTGAAAGCGTTGGTCTTGAAAAAGTTTGAATTTGACAAAGGTAGTAGTCTGTTTCAGCCAATCAGTTGAATGAACTAAAAACGCGCGCGCTGTCAAAATTTGTTGTCGTAGTTATGTTTTTCGTGTATGTTATTAATAAGTAATCACATGATTTTTCTCGTGCAATTTGGAATAAATAAGCACTTGTAAATTTTTCAAAGACCACAAAGTGCACTCGCCCTACGGGCTCGTGCACTTTTGTTAGTCTTTGAAAAATTTACTCGTGCTTATTTATTCCAAATTGCACTCGAAATCATGTGATTACCTATACAAAAATGGTCGAAATTGATACGTTATTTCAGACCAAAACAGCTAAAAAAACCATACCCTTTGGCGCGGCACATACCTATATAGCCTATATGAGAGACTACCCCCACGGGGTGAAAAACGCGTTACAGATTATGAGTCTCGCTGCTTACGAAAGCGAGACTAATCAGGATTTAAATATAACAGAACCATAATTGAACGAAAAAAACATGCTTTAGTAGCACAATTTATATAGCCAATATAGTGATACGTTTACTTTGTCTTGTTATTATCTGCAATTTTTTCTTTCCGCTTTTTTCTATCCGCTTTTTTCCATCCGCATCCACCATCCGCATCCGTCATCCGCGACCAACTTCATGGCTTTTTGGTGTCCGGTCCACCTCTTACAGACACCCGGAAGTAATAGCTAATTACGGCACGTTCCCAGCAGGCATCAGGAAGGTAGAGTACTTTCACTGACAGTAAGTGTTTTCATCAATTCAATTCAGGATTGAGTAAGGATGTCTCCGAATTTGGAATACGTTGGCCTTTTAATGTTTCTGGCCATGGTAGGAAAAACAGAGGATTCCCTAGTAAAAGGTTATTGTAGTTGGGCTTGCGAGATTGTAAACGCTCATCCCTGGGGAACAGTGTTTTCAAATACAAGACACCTGAGAGCTAAATTTCTGTTGAACAAACGCGTCGAACAAGAGTGCGCGCGTTTCACCAACGAAGCGAACACTAGCGAATGGATAAAAGTGTGGATTTACACCAAGCAAGAAGCTTCCATCGCAAGTTCGAATGACTTTAGTCTCCTGACGTCAGCAATCTTGAGTAACCTTCCATTATTTCCATTTTCACTTGACTACTGGGAACAGGATGGCAACATTTCTTGTGTTTGTCGACAAAAGTGTGGCCAAACATCGAACGAATCCAACGGAACTGCAAACGGACTCGAAGCACTCTATTCTCCATATTTTTACATCACGAAAGAAGCTTCCAATTTCAGTAAAAACTTTAAACCTTTTCTGAGCTACATTTGGTCGGAGAATATCTTCACTGTTTCCGCAAGTTTTACGGAACGAGATGAAACTGCCACAAACATTCAATTCTTTCAGCAATTTGAAGGATTGCAGTATACTACAGTTTCAATACTGAGACACGTGCTTTGGATATTTTGCACTTTATACAGCACATATTTTTTGACACTTTTTCTTCCAAACATCAGCACAAAAGAGATTTCAGAGGTCCCTGTTACTGCAATTCATCCAGAGAGTGAATCAGAAAATGATGGAATGTCTTTAGTGGAAGTAGAAGCCAAACCTTCACGGCAACCACAACCAACAGAGCAAGACTATTTTGTAAAAGACTGGCTTGACCAAAACCCTGTTAATTCAGGTAGTCTGGATGACTTTGATGATTATTCTGAGGTAGATTCAATTATTCAATCATTACCAGAAACAGAAGGAAGTGGTGGCTTCAATACAAACAGAAATGCAGGTCATACAGTAGAGCCTTCTGGATTGCAGCATAGTATTTTGCAAATGGAAAGTACTGTATCCAAGGCAGAGGCTGTCACCTCATTCAAGCATCATGTCAGTAATAGACAGAACAGTGAAAGAAACAAGTCAGTTTACGTGATACACTTTGGTGGGGGACCCAGTCCAGTAGGTTTGAGAAGTTTTGTTGCCACAAAACTTCTTAGATATAAGCTGATAAATTTTGCTTTTATGTTCACTGCCCCAGTTTTTATTTTCTTATTGGTTGATATAGCGTTTGTTTTGTTACCAGGATTAGTGTTAAAAGTTGCTACCCCCAGCTTGCCATCAGCATCCATGACAAAGTCTGTGTTGCTGTTTGTGTACGAGTACCCATATTCGCTAATGCTGTTGTTTTTTTATTGCTTCAGAATTTTAGGCCTTTGTATTTTTCAGTCTTTGGAAAATATTGATTGTGTACCATGTTTTTCATGTAGAAAGCATCTTTTGTGCTTCATTGGTAGGAATTACGTTACCCAGTTTATTCCCCTTAACTGTCTGCAATTTACAGTATGTGATGAATGTAAAAAAGTGCATTGTTCCAAACAGCGTGAGTTTCACGTTTTCTCGAACATTAAATACCATGTAGATAGCCAGCCAGATATTCTAGAGAAAAACTGGAAAGATGTCAAGGATGCCTTTCATCGTATGTTTTCAAGATTTTGCTCACAATCCAATGATGATAGTAAAAAATGCTGGGTACTGAAAACTTTCATAATTTATGTAGTTCTTTTTATACCTTTCTTGATTTTTTTCTTGATTTTATGTGTGTTAGATTTTGGACTTTCCTGTCCCATCATCTCTTTTTGTTATGGAAGAGTGTGGTTTTCATCCCAATGGTTTGAAGGGAAAAGATCCAAACAGTTTTGGTGCCTTTTCTTGGAGTTTATATTCATTTTTTTCTCAATTGTGTGGGCAATATATTTATCAGTTTGCTGTTCTAAGGCATTGGTGGTAGCAGTAACAAGCCTTTTCATAGCCGGTGTAAATTATCCTTTAGAAACAGTAAGTACTTATGCCATTATTACTTTGTTTTGGGTGATTTTGTGGGACCAATACAGTGCCTTTACTGAAAGGTATGCTAAACTTGACAAGATGATTTCTACCATTTGCACTAAAAATCATCCCATGAGACTGAAGCAGTACCAGCTGCAGAAAGGAGATGGACATACCTACTTCCCAAAAGACCTTGTAGATTTTGTGCATAGAAAAGTGATACCTTTGTCAAAGAGTGTAAGAGAGCTGATTGTAACCTTATTGATTTCAGTGGGTGGTCTTATTTTTATGGTGTTGGTGTCAACATCAACCAAAGTGCCTAACAGTAAGGTTCTTCCTGCTGTTTCTTCTTTTATGTTACTTATCCAATTATTACTTCACCGTTATAGTAATGGTAGAGAGAAAAAAAATGATTGTAAGGATCAAGATTTAAAAGAAGCAGTAAAGCAACATGTGGCTGCATACTTTGAGGGGAAAGTAGATTAAACCATGGTAATTTACTCAGTTATTGATTTTGTTGACACAAAAATCTGGCAAATGCAGCAGTAATTCTTGTTAACTGGAGTTCTTCGGAGATAAAGAACAAAACAAAACCAAAAAATGGCATACCTCGCAAGAGCAGTTACGTGTCCTTAACAATCTTCAAGATTTCAAAGTTTTTCAAAGTTAGTCTACGTGATCATTATTAATTTTACCTCTGCATATAAAAATTCCCTGGATTTTATAAAGCTGCTGGGATCAATTTGTTCATGTGTGAGTTGTATCTGTCGGAGATTATGTTTGATTGTTATGTAAAACAACAATTAAATTGCATCCATTTCCATTTAAGAATCTGGGATCAATATCGAAGCATTCCTTACAGGTGTTGTAGGTCAGTTGTGGATCCAGTATGCTTACAGTAAACAGGGATATATTTTTGTGTTCAATTATTATTTGTTAGGCAATGGCATGTTACAGCCATTGAGCTTTTCAGATCCGAAAGATAACATTGGATAGAGCTAGATTTTCTGGATGTACATGATACTTAAATGATGGTGACAGAACTTCTTAAGAAAATTATACTTTTCTACAATAGAGACATAACTCAGCGTCTTCCATATTGGTTCATATTGGAAGCTCAGGTTTGTCTAGAGTATCTTTAAAAATGGCCTTCTACCATATAAGTAATAATAAAGTAAATGAAAAAATGTGTCATTGAGAGTTTTACATCATAAATCTGATTGGCTACCAACTGCCCTGATTTCAGCCTTTATTGGACAGTTTAATAGGACAGTTCGCGTCATGCCTAAGTAAATGGACAGTACGCACCATCACGCGCGCGCTTTAATGGCTTTTTTTTCCACTACTAGCAAAACAAAATGTCGAATTTCTTGTGTTTTCATTTAAAAAATAGCCTATTATACCACAAATTTTGTGAAAGTTATGATTAATTGGTAACAGAACTTCGTGTCGTCCAATTCGGTCTGTAATCATACTCGTGATTAATCCCTCGTATGGTTACAGACTGAATTGGACTCCACTCAGTCCTGTTACCATTACAAATTGGGTAGTGTAGCTGTTAAACAAGCCTTGGTGGTGACTATAAGTCCAGCTAGAGTAAGGGTTAATCACCCTGCCAGCAGAGTGCCTAATTTTGGCAAAGTTGAGAAGGACTCGGCATGAGTTGAGTAAGAACTTTGTAGAGCATACACAGCTTCCATTGCTAGGATAAAATTTTGAAGCCAGGAATAATAGCTGTGTGTGCTTAGTACCGCGGTCTCGCAGTTATGACCATCAGTTTTTATAAATGGATGCTTGCAATCAAAAACCAGTTTGTCAAGAGAAAACAAGATTGACTAGTCCAGAAGTTTGGGCTGTGGCAACTTCAAAGGCTTGACCCAAGCCTGCTTGTCTCCTCCTCCATCAAGGGGAAACAAAAGGAGGCTGTGCTGGCAGGGTGGGGTTAATCATGTTTAAGTCAACTATGTTGCTACTGATGTACAGTGGCGGATCCAGGGGAGCCCCCCCTCTATTTTTAGAACATACTGAGGTCCAAAGGGCTGAAAAAAATTTTTTGGAGACTGCTCCCTCCCCCCCCCCCTCCTTATTTCAAGGTCTGGATCCGCCATGCATGTTGTGTGAACACCAGTGAGGTGAAAGACAAGGGTACAAATAAATAAGTTGTAACATGTGAATTTGTTGAGGAACTCTGAGACTACCCGCAAGGTTGTACATGTTTGTTCATGTCATGGTGTTTAATGTAACGCTTTTTTTAGTTCCTCACTTAATTGTTTATGAGGCTAAATTGTTATTTTAGTAGAATTTGGTGTTTTTGAATAAAAAAGCGTGTATCTCCCAAGAGTTGGAGTTTTGGTTGGTTGTTTTTGATAATAACTCGAGTATCCACTCCTCAGTACACCTAGTTCAAGGGTCAATTAAGGTATAAGAAATGGTATAAACCATTCCATTTGAAAAATGCATTTCTCAAATGATAAAGAATTTTGCAAAAAAAATAATTTCAATGGTCTCTCAAGCAAGAGCTGAGCTGTCAGAAAATTGATATCCAAGGTGTCTATTTTTCACACTAAGGTGTGATTTCCGATTTATATCACAGGCTCAAAAAATCAAGATATTTCTACCTTTGCCTCGGTAACTAGGAACAAAAATAAAATTGTAACTGACTTATACTTAGATTGTTCATTTGCCTTTAAATTCCCGGCAGAGCCCGGCAATTTTCTCCTCAGGCCGCTGTTAAGGTTAGGTTCTTGCATTTAATATCTGTACCCCACCCTGCCCTGGTTGAGGACCTACCTTTTCCTTTTACCCCTGAAGATTGGCTAAAATTGCTTTCACCCCTGAAGACTTCCCTAAAATATAGGTTTACCCTCAAGAATATGGGTACTACCCCTGATTAATATGAGTTTAACCCTGAAGTGAAAATTAGAGCTTCAACCCCAAAGAATTCCATATTTCTTACTCTACCTCTAAAGAAATCCCCAATTTTTATAACTTACCCTAGGGAATTCCATGGTTCCTCAACCGTGGCGGGGGGTTGGGGTTGTGGGGGTTGCGAATATTAAATGCAATAGCCTTTAGCCCATTCCAAAATGATCCCTCTTGGCCGGAAATTTGAGACTGGACTGGACTCTGGACCCTGGGCTCTGGACATACCCCCTCCCCCCACGAAAGTTACAGGTATCAGGGCCAGTGGCATGGACAAATCCAAAAAGTACTTCAACCCCGCCACCAAAAAAGAAACCTTCCCACGAATCTTTTAGGGAAGAAAAAGAAACCAGAAATTATTTTTTTAGGGCTGTACACGTGTCAGGGACTATGACAAGTCTAAACAGTATTCCCCCACAAAAAACAGAAGTCCCACCACTTCAAAAGTAACCCCAGCATTATGGCTCTTGCTCCCAAATAATCAACTGAACAAGCGCGTGTCGATATTCTTGCTCAACTCAACTCTTGTTTGGCATTCGAACGTGTTAGCACCACTGTTCAGTGTTTTATTTTTCGAGAACGTATGTTGTCCCTGTAATGAACTACTTTTTTAACAGCCTTAATAATACGAAGCTGCCTCTTTCCTCCGCACGTAGATTAGACAAGGAAAACTTTTCATCGACATGTGCAAGTCCTTATCAGCCGTTGATCGTAGAGCAAAAGACCGGAAAAATAAACTTGAAGGTGA